GTGTGTGTGTGTGTGTGTGTGTGTGTGTGTGTGTGTGTGTGTGTGTGAATGGCCTAGATGTAGGGCCTTCCACAGCCCCCTGGCTCTCTCCCCTGAACCCTGCTTGCACACCATCACCCTCCTGGGACATCTGCAGAGGAGGCACCTTGACCGTTGCTTGGCTCGTCTGTTGAGGGGCTGCCCAGGCCTCCGCGCCTTCAGCCCCTGCCCTCCTCCCAGGTCTAATTGGCTGTTGCCAGTTCTGTCAGGGCAGCGTCCCTCTGACCTGTTTCCTTTTCTCCCTTCCCTTGGCTGCACCCCATGGTTTGAGATTCTGTAGTGACTCCCCATCAGAAGCAGTGGACCGTTGTACTAGCTTTCCCACGGTCCCTTCAGCACTGACGTTCTTGGTTTGGGTCATTTTTGCCAATGTCCAGGATATGAAGTTAAACCTCACCATTGTTTTAGTCTGTATTTCTCCTACTGTTTAGCTATAGAGAAGACAGCAATTATTATACCTATTTTAAAGGTGAGACAACTGAGACTCTTACCCACATCATATAAGTTGGTCAGTGCTTGGACCCTGGGTTCCTGACTCCTGGCCCAGCACCAGCCTCTGCCACATGCCACTTCTGTCTTCGAGATGTGTAACTGAAAAGGTGTGGCATCGAGTGGAATCCTAACTTGGATTTGGACTCCAGGGTCATCCACAGTAGGCCTTTACTAAATTTTTCTTGAATCATGTCCTTGGTGCTTGTTTATAAATCACACCGCCATCCTCCTCTAGAGCAGAAATGTGAGATGAAGCCTCATTCTGTAGGTGGCGATGATGCTGTGATTGTGTTCAGGATTTAAGATGATCAGTTCAGAGCCCGCTCCAGTCTTTGACCCTCCAATCCGCCTCTAGCCATGTGTGGAAGTGTGAAGGGCCGGGTTGGGGCAGGTCATAGGAGACGGGGTGGGAGGGATCCGGGGTGCCTGGGCTGCTCCTCGTGTCATTTCCCACTCTGCTCCTGGGACGTTCCCCCACAGGATAGCAGGGTCAGATGGAACACGTGGGGCCCAAGACGGCGGAGGGAGGCTGTGTCTGTCGTCAGCGGAGTCCTTCCAAGCCCCGCCTTTGGGCTGTTCTTGGCTCTCAGCTGGCAGACAATTAACACACAGTGATTAAGCACCTACGTGTGTCGGCTCCTACCGTGTTAGATAGTGGAGGTACAGAGACCAAGGTGAAATAGTCCCTGCCCTCAAGGAGCTTGCCTTCTACTGTGAGGGGGACAGGGTTTGGGGCGGAACGCACTCACATGAGGCGTTTCAGAAGCCTCGTGTGTCTAAACGCCGAGTGATCCCCTTGTGCTCGCCAGGCGCTGTGCCAGGCGTTAGGAGTGAATACCCCTGCCACCAAAGAAGTCTCCAAGGCAGAGACTGAGATGGGTGGGAATCAGGGGACCCCTCCTCATCAAGCCGACCACCAATATTTGCTCAACACCTATGGCTGCCAGCCCTGGGCTAAGCCCCTGCGTCCGGCCCCTGCCCTCGGGGAGTGAGCACAGGGGGCGTGTGGTCCTGGAAGGGGAAGGCCGAATGTCGTAGGTGAGGAACCTCGAGTGGTCGTTGCCGCCGTACCCTGGAGTGGTCTGTTTGTGAAAAGTCCTCGGTGCCTGCAGCAGGGCTATTGTTTGATGTCAGGGGTTAAGGAGCCTGCTGGATAGGCAGGGCCGTGGGCAGAGCTGCTCATGAGGAAAGTCTCTGGCAGCAGAGGGGGATGTCTGGGAGTGGGCAGACCAGAGCAGAAGCTGTGCACATGCAAGCACACAGGCACACACACTCACTTGAGCACACATGAGCACATGCACACATGCGAGTACACAAGCACACACACTCACATGAGCACACACAAGCACACATACACACACGTGCACAGACTCACATGAGCACGCACACACAAGCACACACACACACACACATGTCCACGCGCTCGCACCATGGGAATGACAAGATTGGGCCGCAGAGCAGACGTGTGCAGTGAATGCAAGGGAGAAGCTGAGGGGGATGTGCTGAGGTGCCGACCCCGGGCACTGAGAGGCCAGGGGAAGCTTGGGGCGGGGGGAGGGGTTTTCGTGGATAGGGGGTTGCTCTTGGGATGTCTGGGGTTTGGAATGCGCATGTGCCAACTCGCAAAATGGCCAGTGGGCAGTGGAGAGTACAGGCTGGAGCTCAGAGATGGGTGGGGGCTGGACAGAGATCTAGGAAATGCCTGCATAGAGACGGTCAGGTGGACTTGCAAGAACTGATGAGAGAGTAGAGAGAGAAAGGAGAGAGCCCCCAGCAGAGTCGTGGGGCCTGTGGCGAGGAAGGCTCGTGGCCAGGCCTCCAAGAGCCGACTCAAAATCCCCTTAAAGAGGGCCCCTTGGGATCTGGGATGGGTCTTCAGGGAGGCTGAGGCTGGTGACCTTGGGCAGGTCCCCGCCGCTCTCTGTACCAGGCGCCCGCTGCTGTCCCTCCGGAGTCTGATTTGTGGGGTCGGTGGAGTCTGCCGGCCCGCAGGATTGCTGTGTTAGCGCCTGGCGAAGCATGCGTGTTTAGGAAAATGACTTCACCTGTGACTTTTCTTTCCCATGAAGCATCTTGCAGGAGAAGCTGGACCAGCCTGTCTCTGCTCCCCCGTCGCCGCGGGATATCTCCATGGAGATCGACTCTCCAGAAAACATGATGCGGCACATCCGCTTCCTAAAGAACGAAGTGGAGAGACTGAAGAAGCAGCTGCGAGCGGCCCAGTTACAGCGTAAGCTCCCCGCACTCGGCCCGGGCCCCCGCCTCTGTAGTCCTGTCAGACCCATCAGCCTCGCTTCCAGAGCCCTGGGGGATGGTTGGGAGGCCCCCTCCCGCCCGATGCTTCCTGCCTGGCCCCAGGAGGCTCCCCAGGGCCCCAGGAGGCTCCTCATCTGGAAAGTGAGAGGGTTCAGCCAGAAGCCTCTGAGCTCTGAGCTCCGGATTGATGATCCTGTGGGCGTTCATGGGAATTCTTAGTGCTCTCCTTTCTCCCAGTTCCATTGTTTCTAGGGCTGTGCGCAGTGCCCCGTAAGAACAGATCCTCGGGCTTGAGTCTCGGTAAGGGTGGGGTCTGTGTTTGTGGGAGCACTAGGATTTGCTTCATCTGACTTTAGGAATCAGAGTTAGAGCAGGTGTCAGAGATCTTGGGGCAAGCACCGGGGAAGAGTGCTGCCTCTACTCCTCGCCACGTGGCCGACGTTGGCCTCTCGGGAAAAAGAGAAGAGAGGCCCTGACCCTTCCCTCTTGAGCAGAAGCGTTGGGGCCTCCTTGTTACCTGCTGGACTAAAGGAGTCGCTCCCTCTAGGCACATGCTAGAATGGAGGCCTTTTCCGTCTGGACATCTTGTCGGCCAGTCGTTTGTCACCTCCCACTCTCCTTGACCCCGTTGGGGTTTTCTTGGCAGAGATGCTGGGGTGGGTTGCCATTTCCTTCTCCAGCTCATTTTTACCGATGAGGAAGCTGAGTCCAGCAGGTGAGGTGACTTGCCCCGGGCTGCACAGTTATAGTGTTTGAGGCAGGATTTGAACTCGAGTCTTCCTGATTCCAGGCCAGTGCTCCGGAACCTCATTTCATTTGCATGGCTTCCCTCCCTCACTCCACACTCCTCCCAAGTTCATCTATTTAGCTATGTCCTGACCTCAGCGTCTTGGTTTCGGCTGTGTGCCTTTGCATGGGCCGTGCCCATTGCCGGGCACACCTTCCCTCCCCAGTGCTGTCTTACTTCCAGGCTTAGCTGGGTTCAGCCCTCTCTGATTCCCCATGGTCCTCTCTGTCCCCTCCCCTCCTAGGATGGACGCTCTGGAGGTGGGAGCTGGCCCAATTCCTTGTGTTCTTGAGGAAATTCCGAGTCAGTCCCATGGCTCCAGGCCTGGTGACCCATGTCTGTGGTGCCAGAGTCCCAGAGTCATGGGGGGGGATGGAGGAAAAAGCTGGACAGACTGAGAGCCACCCAAGGGTGAGAGTGCTTAGTGTAGATCTCTGTGGTGTTATCAACACTGCCGTTCTCTCCACCCGGCAGGCAAGCAGGCAGCCAGCATTTATTATATGCCTGCTCTGTGCCAGGCACAGTTGTGAGGTACAAATAGAAAGATGGCCTGGCCCTTCCCTCAAGGAGCTTACACTCCAGTGGGGGAGGACAGCACACTGAAGGGGGTTCAAGTGGTCTCAGCTCGAGGGGCCTGGGAGGCCCTCTCTGATGGGATGGGGCCAGCCTGGCCCAAGGACTGGATTGCCTGTGAACATTCAGTATAGAGTAGTAATAGCAGAATAGTGACTCAACCACCAGCCTGAGGAGAATCAGGTAAGGGATGGAGGCTAAGGAGACGAGTGTCCTTCTCAGGCAGGGGTCTGGAGTCCCCGGCTTCCTCTCCTGCTTTCTTCTCTGTGTCGCCTTCCCTACACTTGCAGCTTTTGGGACACTGCCATTGTCAGCTGGGTCCTGTTGGGGCAGACCTGGGTCTTCTGAGCACGCCGCATCCCCGAGATCACCCGGGCTCCTTCTGTTGAGTCACAGAAAGTGGACACCTCTCGCCTCTTGTCCTGCAGCAAAGAACCAGATGACCTGGGGGTCCCCAGCCCTTCCCAACCAAGACCCCAAGTTGAGAAAAGACTATTAGTTTCTTCTGAAAGTTTTTGAACTTTGACTTGCCTTGACTGTGAACAGACTTTCTCATCAACCCCCTAGGAAGCTATTTCCTTTGTCAGTGTTCAATTTTGTCTCTCCCCTTCCCTCCCCCCCGGGCACACATTATCACTCTTCCCCAAACATATTTTTTAATGAGAACTGTGTCTGGCCTGCTTACATTCCTCTCGGCCGCTTGCCAGCCATTCCCTATAAACAGAGCCTGCCTTGTCCTTGCTGGGACAGATGCGGGAGCACTTAAGGCAGAAGGAGCAGCCGGCTGTGTGCCCCCGCTCCTCCAGGCCATCAGAGCTGCCCGCCTGGGCCGTGGCAGGCACCTCCTAGCGGGTCTCACCACTTCTCCTCGCCCCGTTCCCGCAGCCGGCCCTTCTCCATGTAGAGAGCCAGCTATCCTGCTCCCTCGCCCCTCCCCACGCTGGTAATGACCTTCCTCCTCATCCTCAGGTGGGTCTGTCCAGGGCTTAAGGTAGGGAACATTGTGCCAGACTCAGGATGATGCTGTGCCCTTGTTTGATCCCTTTGAGGGCAGGGACCTCACAGCCTAAGTGATATTTTTGTATCCTGCTGGCATCTACTGTAGGAACTTTTTAAATGTTTGTTTTAGAGCACGGCCCTTCTGTCTGCTGGGCATTGGGTCCCTCCCAGCCCCCTGTGCCTGACACTATCCAGTAATCACCACTCCAGGGACTCTCACGGCAGCCATGGGAGGTTAGATACTATGGCAGTCATCACTCCTAGGTTACAGGGGAAGAAACTGAGGCTTGGGGAGATTGGGCCACCTGCCCTCACAGTCATGCAGTGAGGGCATGTTGTAGCTGGGATTAAATTGAAATCATAGGTTCAATCAGTCACAGAGAGATCTTTATTCATTTTTCGTCTATCAGTTTATTAAATAATTGTCCCCTTATGCAAAATAGACCAGAAATGCTCCATCGTTTTTAAGGGTAAGGTAACCAGATGAACTTCTTAACTAATTCCCTTTCCCTTTGGGATTATCTCCATCTGAGTCTTTGTGTAAATGGTTCAAATATCAGTTGAGAAAACAGCTTGGTTGAGTTTTTTGAAAACTCTCTGTACTTGCTAACAAACTTTTAAGAAGACATGGTGCCAAGGGGTGGGATTGGAATTTGAAGCTTTTCCACCCGGAATATGGTGATAAATTTCTAGTAATGTGGTTTTGGGAAATACTGATTTATCACTAGAGTGAGTGAGAGGTTACATTAGGTTTTTTTTCCAATTTTCTTTCAGTTTTATTGATGGCTTTGTTTTTTTTTTTATGTTACGTACAAATACACATTATTCCCGCTTCATTAGAGGTGTCTTATAACACCTGTAAAATAAAACAAGCAGTTAAACCTATACTACGCTAACCCCAACTGAGGTTCATACAGCATTTCATTTCTGTAGCACCCTTCCCTCCCTCTCACCTATCTACTTTCTCTTCTTATCCCTATCCACTGAAAAAGCAGAAAAGAAAAAGAAAACGCCTCTTATAACAAATATGTCTGTAGATGTTTATTAAGCACCTACCACATGCCATACACAGAAAAGGCTCAGAGAGGAAGGCAAGGCAATTTCCTGAAGCTGCACAGGATAAGTGCCTGAGCCATGAGGCTCCCAGCCCAGCACTGCCTCCAGACCTCCAATCCCACTCACCCCTCTCCTGCCCTGCCTTTAGAGCCACATCTGCAGCATTTGGACGGACTTTGAGAGGGCCTGTCCCAGACTCTGCGCCCAGTGTTGGCCATCACTTTTCCCAGCTCGTGAGCCTGGGCAGTGGAGGGAGCCAGGCTGGGACTGAGGCAGTCTGCGGTGCTGTGGGATCCTCAGGGCAACCCTCCCAGGGAGGTGGCCCATTTTACACATGCAGAAACCAAGGCTGAGTGTGACAGAGGGCAGGCAGGATTCGAGTCCAGCCTCTTTCCCACACTGCCCCTGCCCAAGCCAGAGAAAAGGAGAAAGGCAAGATCTACTTCTGGGTGATGACCCCATTGGCTTTGTAACTCTGGGGATGAGCGCGACTGTTTCAGGAAATGGCGTCAGTTCGACCTCGTTCATCAGGGGTTGTCTGGAAAAGCCCAGAAATGCCAGTGAAGAGTGATGTCATTTTCTGCCCTCACTGAGCCCTAGAGGGCTGAGGAGGAGCATGGAGTGTTGGCTATTTTGTGACTAAATCACTCCCTGTGCATGGAGGGGGATGGAGATGGTGGTACATGAGCTACCCTAGTATTTAACAGTCTTTTTCTTAAGCCTGGTTCACTTGGCTACGTGGCTCAGGTTAGGAGCCAGCCAGCAAACTGTCGAAATCTCTCTTGGAGAGCCCTGAGGCTCATCTTAGGAGGGAACAGTGCTGAGGACTGCCCCTCTTCCTGGGCTGAAAAGTTGCCAAAGTACTTTCTAGGGATCTCTCCCTTGAGTCCCACACCAAACCAGCATTATTATCCCCATTTTACAGATGAGGAAACTAAGGTAAATATGGTCATAGGATCATAGAGTTAGAGCTGGAGAGACCTTGGAGGTCAGCCAATTCCCTCCTCTCTCCCCTTATTTTAGGGCAGGAAGCTAGGGTCCCTAGAGGTTCATAGAAAGGGCCTTCAGGGGCCAGTCATCTGCTCCAACCCCCACCTTCTGTAGATGTGGAAACCAAGGCCCAGAGAGGTTCTGTGATTTGCTCAGGCTCCCTGGTCATCAGGCCAATAAGCATTTACTAAGCACAGACCATATGCCATTTGAGACCAGGTCTTCTTCTGTTCTAATGTACCATAAGTGACTTGCCCGAGACATTATCTGAACCCAGATCCTTTAACTCACAGAATTTGAGAGTTGAAAGGGGTCTGAGCAGTCACGAAGTCTAACACATCCACGATAGGAATCCCTTGTCCAGCGTATCTGGCAAGTGGTCCTCCAGCTTCTGCTTAAAGAGTTCCACAGAGGGGAAGCCCCTGCCTCTCAAGGCTGCCCATTCCATGCTGGGATGCCTTTCTTGGAGGCACCCAGCCTCCATTGGCCGCTTTGCCTCTTCTCCCCATTGATCTGTGCTCTTCCCATTGCTATGTGGCCACAGATGTGGTCAGTTTCTGAGGGGGCTCCCAGGTTCAGTGCTCTTGTATGGCAGCCGTGATTAGCTTAGACAGGATGAGTGGGGGAGATGAGCTTCCTCTAAGTGCAGGAGCTGAGGGATTATCAAGCCCTTTCCTTGAAGCATCCTCGGGACCCAAGGGAGGTTAGTAGTTGAAGTGGAGGGGGGAGAGAGAGAGACTGTCTGGAGCTGAGTGATGGAGGGTCTTGTTTGTGGAACAGCCAGGAGCCTGGTGTCCCTGGATCAAAGTGTGTGTGGTGGGGAGTCAGGTGCAAGAAGACTAGAAAGGTAGAAGGGGAGTAGGTTAGGGAGGGCTTTAAATGCCGAGCAGAGCATTTCGTATTTGCTCCTGGTGATAGGGAGCCACATTATTGAGTAGAAGTGTGACATGATCAGACTTGAGCTTTTGGAAAATCACCTTAGTGGCTGAATGGAGGATAGATTGGAGTGGAGAGAGACTAGAGGCAGGCCAACCCCCAGCAGGGGGCTAAATGCGTTAATGCCCTAAATGCCAGGGATAGACCAGGTGTGAGGTGACCAGGCCATGTACCACCATGGGGACAATATCAGGAGAAAGAAGGTGGGGGCATCTTCTAGAGAGGCAGCAGAGGTGAAATCCGCAAGAGGGCCAGCAGAGCTGAAATCCACAAGAGGGCCAGCAGAGGTGAAATCCACAAGAGATGCAGAAGAGGTGAAATCCACAAGAGGGCCAGCAGAGGTGAAATCCACAAGAGGGGCAGCAGAGGTGAAATCCACAAGAGATGCTGCAGAGGTGAAATCCACAAGAGATGCAGAAGAGGTGAAATCCACAAGAGGGCCAGCAGAGGTGAAATCCACAAGAGATGCTGTAGAGGTGAAATCCACAAGAGGGGCAGCAAAGGTGAAATCCACAAGAGGGACAGCAAAGGTGAAATCCACAAGAGGGACAGCAAAAGTGAAATCCACAAGAGGGACAGCAAAAGTGAAGTCCACAAGAGGGGCGGCAGAGGTGAAGTCCGCAAGAGATGCTGCAGAGGTGAAGTCCGCAAGAGATGCAGAAGAGGTGAAGTCCGCAAGAGGGGCAGCAGAGGTGAAGTCCTCAAGAGGGGCAGCAGAGGTGAAATCCACAAGAGGGGCAGCAGAGGTGAAATCCACAAGAGATGCTGCAGAGGTGAAATCCACAAGAGATGCAGAAGAGGTGAAATCCACAAGAGTTGCTGCAGAGGTGAAATCCACAAGAGATGCAGAAGAGGTGAAGTCCACAAGAGGGGCAGCAGAGGTGAAATCCACAAGAGGGGCAGCAGA